GCGCAGGGGGGGGGGGGGGTAATTTGTAATTTGGTAATTTTAAATTTGGTAATTTGGCGTACAAGGTTTATTGCTTATTCCTTGAGCCCTTTACAGCCAAAAAGAGCCATTTCCCGTCATAGGTTTTAATGAAAAGGTATAAAAAGTTGAGGGCCAGCTGTCCTATTTCTATTTCAGAGGGTCTGTATGCAAGGCTGAGACAAGGGAGCCTCCGAATAACCCCCTCTCATCTTCGATGAGAGGGGTGAGGTGGGAAAACATCTTTTCCGGCAGAGCAGTGTTTTTTTTTTGGTTTTTTTTGTTTTTGTGTCTTGTCTTTGTCCTGCTCGCGTAGCAAGTTACAACTACATATGTAGTTGTAACACAACTTCGTTAGCCCCGGAGTCAAAACCGACCCTTTACCTGTGGCTCACACCAACAACTCCGACCCGGTTGTAGCCGAGCCTACGTGAGGATTAAGGAACAGGGTTGGTTTTGGCTCCGGAAGTTGTGCAGAAACTGGAACTGGGTAATTTGTTTTTTTTGTCTGCCCCTACTTCGTAGCGAAAGGGTAAGGTAGCTCCTGGCTGCGCAAACGTATTTTTTTTTTTCTTCCTGCGCCCCATAAAAAGGGTCGGGGCGACTCCTCATTTCTTTTTTTTTTACCTTCCCTTCTTTAATTTCCCTGTGTGTGCAAGCCTACCCCCCGAGGGTCACTTCCTTGAAGCATACCCCCCCCCTTCTTGTCCTTGTATAATCCTTCGTTAATAGCCCTGCAAGGGAGGTAATAGGAACTAGGTCACGGTCAAGGAAAAGGATAACCCAGCGAAGCACCCCTCTCCCTCAGCCTCTGCCTAGGTTTTCCTCTCCCACCAGCATATTCAGTTTCCAGCTGCATCTTCCTTGCCCACGGGATAATGCGGCCTAGGTAACTACATACATATGTAGTTGAAACTTGCTAGGCGCGACCAAGGCCGCACACAAAGTGTGGCCCTCCCTTCTCCCCTCCCCCTCTCACCAGGCGAAGGCCATCCACTTACTACGTAAGTGGACGGAGCCGGGGGGGAGGAGGGATATATTGGGGTATTAAAATGGACCAGGAAAGCAGGCCCCCTCCTATCCTCTCATTAATTTCCTACCCCCTCTGACCCCCCCCGCCTTGGTCGGGGGGGGGGTAGGGAATTAACGGAGCCGGGGGGGGGGGCTCTCCTCTCTCTAACAGCCCTCTCTCTCTCTCTCTTTCTTTCAGAGAGAGAGGTTTTTTGCCGCTAGCTTCGCATGGGGCTGCGCCCTAGCATAAAAAAATGAGAGAGAGTAGGGGCGCCGCTCCGAGGGGAGGGGTGCTTGGCCTTTGGCCATGCACCCCTCCCCCTGGGTAGGCAGCCTCCCCACAGCCCATTACCCTGCCAGGGTAAGGGTCTGTGGGGAGGCTGCCGGCGATGCTCTTCTTTTTTTTTTTGCCGCCCCTCCGGTTTGGGCTGCGCCCTAGCATAAAACAAAATGAAGAGAGGAGCCGGGGGCGCCGCTCCTCCTCTCTCTCATTTCCATAGGAAATGAGAGAGAGGAGGACTTATAAAGGCATATACAAAATAAGAATGAAAAGCTAACGGAGGGCAGGCATACTTTGTTAGCCCCCCCTAATTTAGTGCATCTTTGTTTTATGGATTGATTGGATTGGTCCCACTAATTCTATTTATTTCATTTTACTTAATTTTTCTTTATCTAATTTATTAAAAAAAATGATAGTTATATTATTAACTAATAGCCATAGAAATCTTGAGCGGTCGGTATATCACTTCAATCAGATTTAGTTAAATAAAGTTATTTAGCGACCCGGTCGTTATAATCAAAACTTATTAAAGATAGATGTTTATAGCCATTACGGCATGGCGTAGCATCTAGTTGAATAGATAAATATGTATCAAATAACATGTATCGTTATCTTTATAACAATCTAATCATTTATTATATTCAAACTATGGTTTAGATTCAAACTCTAGTTATATTCAATGTAAATTACGGCTGCAGCTTAGCATGCAGCCACAATATTCCCTTCCTACACATCGATGCGAGGATGGAGCCGGGGGGGGGTGCACAACTTTGTTAGGGGGGGGGGAGCCCCCCTGCTCGCCACCACTAATTCTATTTATTTCATTTTTATCTTAAGGTGCTATACCCTGCATGCAGTAAATAACGTGGACTAACCAAAAATATATCAAGCCTATTCCACCTATTTATTTTCTTGTCCCTATACCTAATCCTGCAGCAAGTCTGCAGCCTGCATGGGTAAAAGAAGGTTCGTACCCATTGGCTGATATACAAGGGGGGGGGATACAGGCTAGAGCATAATCTTCTTAATTTCACTATTAGTGAATAATTCTTACATATTAAGTGGCCTCCTCCTTTCTGTTCTGCTGGCTCCTGGCTCCGCAAACACATTTTTTTTTTTTGTTATACACCCCCCTGCCTTGACCCCCCCAAAGCTGCGGATAGGGGCTGCATTTATATTCAGACCCGGTCGTGATTTTTTTTTTGTGTTTTGTCCAGTTCCCTACTTCCCCCTACCAAGGCGGGGGGGGGGGGCTATGGTACAGGAACTGGGTAATTTTATTTTTACTCTTCCCTGTCCCCAGGGGTCAAGGACTGCATGCACCCTCTTCGAGGACGCATGCAGCCTTGTTTTTGTTTTGTTTTTTTGTTTTTGCAACTACAAGGCTCCGCCTAAATAATGATAGGGGGGGGGGGTTCGCAGGGGGGGGCTGCATCCATGCAAGGCTGAGACAAGGACATACAAGGGGGGGGCATTTATATTCAGACCTGGTCACATGCAGCCCTCTCCGAACCATGCCCTCTCTGGGGAGCCATGAGGACCAATTGGCCCTCTGGGTGTATGCAAGCACAACTTCGTTATGCATGCATGCGACCGGTCGCATGCAATCCACAGCCCGATTCCCCCCCCCACTGCGTGGGGGGGGTCTGGGGGGGGGGGGGGGGGAGGGGTGATACAAGAAGGCAACATAAAAAAAAAGTAGGAGGTTGCATCTCTGGGGGGCTTTCAGCCTGAGAGACGCTTTTTAGCTAATAATGTATTTAATTATTGTTTTTTTTATTTTTGTTTATTGGCTAAATTAAATTTAAATTCTGAATTTTGCTCAGCTCTAGGGCTCCGCCCAGCTCGAACAGCCCTCAACGCGCTTTCAGCGCGTAGAGAGGTTTTCTGGTCTTTTTTGCCCGGCTCCGGTCGCAAACCCAAAAAAAAGATAATTTTATTCTTGCCTGCATGCAGGGGGGGGGGGGGGGTGGGGTAGTTTCATGGCTGCTCCGTACCGTAGAGTAGGCTTTCCATGGCCTTCGGTCATGCACTTGTCCCCTTTTGAGCCTATTCCTTGTTCTGGTCCTTGACCTATCCTTGAGCCTTTTCTGGTATGCAGCCCTTGCTCTTGCCCTTTATTTACCACTGCTTATATGTCCAGCATGTATAGGCTAAGGAAGTATGGCTGCCCAAATAGTGCATGGAGTCCTTGAATGTCCCTGCACATCCCTCCGGTACAGCCCCCCCCGCCCCCCTCTCACGGCTCCACTTTCGTAGAAAGTGGACCAGCAAAGCAGGGGGGAGGGTTTTCTTTAGGAGGTCCAATTAGGGTTATATAGGACCAATAGGTCTGCATGCAGGCGGTTTTACTTCTTCAACCTAAAAAAAAATGAATTTTTTATTTTTAAGCGGAGCCAAGGAGCCAAGTGTCCGTTTCCGGTTCGGTACCTTTACCCACGGGATGCGTCCTCGAAGAGGCTGCATGCAGACTGCAAGCTGTATCTGCAAAGCCTGCATGCAGCCTAAACGTAGGGGGGGGGGGGGCTCCGCCCATCCTTGTTTACTTAAAAATAGGTCTGCATGCAGGCGGTTTATTTTTTTTTATTTTGTTTTTGTCTGCCCCTACTTCGTAGCGAAGGGGGGGGGAGGGACCCAACTCCTGGCTCCGCAAACGTATTTTTTTTAGCGGAGCCAAAAATAAGAAAAGAGGAGTGTTAAATTTTTAGAAATAGGAATATGGACACCTTGATGGGGGGGGGGGGTCATCTAAAGAAACAAGATAAAATAGACTTAGCAATAACAGAATAATAAGGTAAACGAATCGAATTTATCTAATAATATATCTGATAAGGAAAATTAAATATTTAAATAATAAATATGTTTTTTTCAAATTTACTTTCAAATTTACTTTCGCTACTTGAAGTTTTACTGGTAGTAATCCCAGCATTAATGGTTGTAGCTTTTATTACTCTGGCTGAAAGAAAAACAATGGCCAGTATGCAAAGAAGAATAGGGCCTAATTTTGTAGGTTACATGGGGCTATTACAAGCATTCGCAGACGCTTTAAAACTAATCTTAAAAGAATACGTGTCACCAACACAAGCGAATTTCATTTTATTTTTCCTAGGTCCTATTATAACTTTAATATTTTCACTGTTTGGTTATGCTGTAATACCTTATGGTCCAGGTTTAGCTATATCAGATTCTAATTTAGGTATATTATATATGTTAGCAGTATCTTCTTTATCTACATATGGTATATTATTAGCAGGATTATCCTATGACTCTTCTAGATCAACAATTTTAGTTTAACAAAAATTGATAATGAACTAGAAGTAGTTCAAGAAAAACTTATAAATAAACTCAAAGCGATATATCTTATCGTCAGCCATTTAGTAGTATTATATGTGTTTGTGTTCAAACACATCTCTTTATTTAATCATGAACAAATACAAATATTATTGTTATGGTTTTTTATTATCTTTATTTATATCAATTATTATCTTAGATGACTGATAAACTAACAAATTAGTTGTACTTAGGTTAAGGCTAGAGCACGTCCTCTTCAAAACGGTCTAAAAAGAAAGAGATGCTTTTAGCATCCAACTGAATAAGAAATCAACAAGGATTTTCTTATACTGATATTAGAAAAGTTAGATTTTATTCTACTAACGCCAAGTCTTCTACTACACCTAAAATTTATCCATAGGACGATTCGGCAGTGTCCGACACAGGTCAAGAACAGGGTAGCTTATCTGATTTTTATTTTCCTAATAAAAATCTCGAATCCTTAAATCGTGAGGAGCTAAAAGTTTTACACCCCTTCGGGGGTGCACATAAAGGAGCGGCGGGCGCGCTACGCGCGCCCGCTGCATCCGCCCTCCGGGGGAGGGCGGACGCTATATAAAGATAGAGAGGCACCTGTGAAGCCTTTTGACCGTAGTCAAATTTTAGCTACTTGTTTTCATTGCTTAGATAATGAAAAATATCTTAAATTTTAAAAAAAGTGGGGGGGGGGTCTAAAGGTTGTATTTACCTTGTTGATTATAAACATGACCCTTTAATTTATTATATAGGAAGAACTACTCTGCTTAAAATAAGAGTAATTAATCACCTTAAAGCAGACAGCAGAAGCAAATTCCTCACCGGAGGTGTGGTGTTTTTTAAACGAGTAGAACCCTACGGAGAGAACACTTTAATCTGTCTGTTATAGATATATGCTTACCTGAGGAACAAGGAGGAAGAGAAAATCACTATCTCCAAACTTATCTTCCCTAATTTAATACTACTTTTTCTTCTTCTTTTTCCGAAACTGCGGCCCTCTCTTTTTTTTTTATCAAAAAAAAAAAAGAGAGGGATTTATACAAGCTTAAAAAGCAAACTGGATATGCTTAAACCTTCTTCTGCAGAATCTAAAAAAAAATGACATCGAACGTCTGTCTATGTGTATGAGATGGAAAGTAATAGCATTAATGAATCTTACGTTAATATGACACCTTAGCGGAAGCTTGTTCGACCCGGTCGGAGAAAATTGCTTGAGTTACACTAACTACACTTAAGGATACCAATGTGCCATTTAGAGGAAAGTTATATTATTCAAGCCTAATAACAGATTTATAATTAACATATAATTTAACTAAAAGTGCCTCAGTTGGATTAAATTTTTAAAATGATGTAGCTGTAAAGGTTTGGGTATAAAATGCCATAAGGCCCCTCCCCTCCCCATCCACTTACTACGTAAGTGGACCAGCAAAGCAGGGGGGGGGATCCGGGGCTTTAGAATTGTTAGAGGCTAGCTCTTATCCTTCCAAAACTCAAGCAGCGTATTATATAGGTATTAGTAAAGATGTTCTTAATTATTTTCTGAATACAGATAAAGCAGAAGGAGTTAAAGGAATATATCTATATACTAGAAAGCTTGAAGCTAAAAAGAGAGAGGCTCTTCTTAAACTCTCTTCTTCACTGGAGCTAGGTAACAAAATAAAAGTTTGAGCTAATGATGCAGCGACCGGTCGTCTCAAATTAATTAATGCTGAACCTTTTCCTAGTTTATTAGATGCCGCTAAATATTTAACATTAATTACAGAACTATTAGTCTACACTTAAACACAGGAAAAGCTACTACTCAAAATAAGACTCACCCATGCCCCCCGGCCGGCTCCGCCCCCCCCGTAGGGGGGGATCGGGTAGATGTACTTTTTTAGAAAAGAGATAACTTCAGATATAAGAAATGAGCGGCCCTCTCCTTTTTTTTTTTCTCCCCCCCCTTGGGGCGCCCGATAGGGCAAAAAAAGATAAGGAGAGGGGGATTTCTAGAGAGAGGGCTGCATCCCCCCTGCTTTGCAGGGGGGGCGCTTTTGAAAAATTCTACTAAAGCTAATATGAATCGTACGGAAATCTGGGTGTACAAAGTAGATAATAAAGGGGAGTTGGCGTTAATTCCTAATCAACCTTTTAAGACTAAACGAGAGGCTCTTCGTGTTCCACCCCCTCACCAAGTGTGTGGCACTCCACCCCCCCCGGCTCCCACTCATCCACTTACTACGTAAGTGGACCAGCAAAGCAGGGGGGGAGCCGGGGGGGGGGGGGGGTAAAAATAAATTACATCTGATATCTAAAAGGTCTCATCTAGGGCTAATATATAAATAATTAAATAAATGGAGATAAAAGAGCTGTTACGTTATAATTATAAGTTTTTCTTAAATTTGCATTAGTCCTCCAATTATGTGAATAGTTGGGAATAAACCGGGTGAATTTCAAGAAAGACTTGTGTTAAGTCAACTTGAAGCGAAACATCATTTAATTTTCGACCCGGTCATATACCTTGTAATTATAAGGTGTATAAGAGTGTACCTTACAATGAGGTCCTCTAGGGCGCCCCCTTTTCGGACTACCCTTGGGGAGCCCCCCCCCTGGCCCCTGGCCCCTGGCCCCTGGCCCCTGGCCCCTGGCCCCTGGGGGGGGGGGGGGTCCCCATGGGCCGCTTTTTTGATTTTTTTTTTTAAAATAAAAAAGAAAAGGTTTTAAATATGTACGTTCAACGACTAGTAGATGAGTTAAGAAAGACAATAATTCTACCACGAGTACCCGGGGTCTTGCTTTATACTTCACTTTATCAAATTTCATAATTTTAAATAAAACAACTATACGATTATTAATGGCCTGACTTTGTTTCTTATTTTTATCTATAGGAGTAATTATCCCAGACTGTGATTATATATGTTTATTTGTTCTTGTTACCCCCGGCCGGCCCCGGCCTGCCCTCTCAACGCGCTTTCAGCGCGTAGAGAGGTATTTTAGATAAAAATACATGCACGCGGTTGGCTCCGCGTAACAAAAAAAAAATAAAAATTTATTTTTTAAGGCTCCGCCGTATGATATTAAGACAAATTTACAATATACAAACAAAAACATTATATTTTCACAGACACATATACGTAGTAGTGTTTGAATGTCTCTTCATGTACAAGCCAAAATGTTTGAACATAGAAAACAATCCTTTTCTACTACTTCGGCTTGCAGTACTATATCCAAAGGTAATGCTAATAACGATTCAAATTTACCTCAAAATAATAATACAGAATTATTAAGTTCTGAAGATTTAAAAGCTTTACATGCCGTATATATAAGAGAGCGGCCCTCTCTCTCTCTTCTAGAGAGAGAGGGCTGCATCCCCCTGCAGAGCAGGGGGACGCTTTACAAAGATAGAGAGGCTCCTGTAATACCTTTTTATCGTGACTTAATTTTAGCTACTTGCTTTCATTGCTTAGATAAGGAGAAAAGATCTGAATTATTAAAAGAGTGAGGATCTAAAAGTTGTATTAGGACAAGACCAAGACATAGTCTGAGCCATCTCGTGAGAGATGGAAGTAAAAGATAAAGAGCTTTTACTATAACAAGACTGCAAATTGTGGAATATATCCAAGTAGTGTGAATTATTATGAAGAGGATCATGAGGCCATAATGAAGAATCTATACATAGACGTGTTTGGTTAAGTTCTACTACTAATATTAATAAAGAAATGAAAAGACCAATATTATTTAATAAATATCTTTCTTCCATTACTTGTCCCCTTCCATCTATAAATGATATTGAAATTAGAGCCTTTTCTACTACTTCGGTGCAGCTTTACAGCGGAACTAAACCCTACCCCCGCCTTGGTCGGGGTGGGCCAGAGGGGGGGGGGCTAGGATAACTCAGATGAAAATTATAATACAGAAAAACATTATTATAATATAGATACCGATAAACTTCAAATACTATTAGATAATAAACAAAAACTTAACCCGGCCCTCTCTCTTTTTTTATCTAAAAAAAAGAGAGGGAATTAGTGACCGGGTTTTCTGATGCTGAATCAACATTCGTAGTTTTTATCGTTAAAAGTAAAAAACATAAGATAGGTTTATCAGTCCACCTGCATTTTTCTATCGCATTACATAGTAAAGATATAGCTTTACTATATTATATCCAATGCCCCCGCTCCCCATCCACTTTCGTATAAAGTGGACGGGGGAGCGGGGAGCGGGCCCTCTCCTCTCATTCATTTCCCTGCGTCCCCCCCCCCCGGCTCCCGGCTCCTAATAAATCAGAGGAGGGGGGGGGGGATGCATCGCGCGCGCTACGCGCGCGCGACGCTTTGCTGGAAATGAACTAGAAGAGGGGGGGGCCTCCTCTCTCTAACAACCCTCAACGCGCTTTCAGCGCGTAGAGAGGTTTTTTTGCCGCTAGCTTTGCATGGGGCTGCGCCCTAGCATAAAACAAAATGAGAGAGAGGAGGGCTATTAAAAGAAGAAAAATTCTATTTTTCTTTATTAAATTCCGAATATAACATCAGTAAAGATCCGGCTGCCCCCAATGTCAGGTAATAAGCACTCTAAAGAAACTCTGGCTAAGATGCGAATAGCAAAGCTTAATAATAAGCGGCCCCCTCTCTCGTAGAGAGAGGGGGGGCTGCATCCCCTCTCCCTCTTTACCCCCCCCCGGCTCCCCATCCGTACTACGTGAGTAGTAGGAGGGGGAGCCGGGGGGGCGGAGAGGGGACGCTTTCGGAAGAAACAAAGGCTCTTATTTCACTTTCTATGCTTAGTAGTATAAAAGTTAAAGTTATAGATAAAGAAACAAATACTACTGTTAATTATGATTCCATTACTGCAGCAGCTACAGCTTTAAATATTCGTATTCAAGCTATTTGTAATTATCTTAAACGTAACCAAGTCAACCCCCCCCGGCTCCCTTTTCTTTTGATTTTTTTTTACTGTGGGGGGGGGGGCGCTGGGCTCCGCCCTACCAAAAAGGGGGGGGAAGGAGCTGGGTGGAGCCCTAGCCACAAATTAAAAATAAAAGGCCCCTCCCCTCCCCTCTCCTCTCATTCATTACCCAGCAAAGCGTCGCGCGCGCGTAGCGCGCGCGATGCATCCCCCCCTCCTTCGGAAGAGGGGGGGGGACGCTGGGAAATGAACGTAGAAGAGGCCCCCTCCTCTCTCATCCCCTTACTCCGTAAGTGAATGAGAGAGGAGGGCGCCGCTCCTCCTCTCTCTCATTTCCATAGGAAATGAGAGAGAGGAGGACTTATAAAGGGAGATATGTATTTGAAAAAATTTAAAGCTACTACTCAAAATAAAACTCATCCATGCCCCCGGCTCCCGGCTCCCTCCTTGGTCGGGGAGGTGTATTTCTTCAGAAAAGAGATAAATTCAGATATAAAAAGTGAACTTAAAAAAACCCAATAATGCTGATTAGGCTCGTTCTGAGATCTGGGTCTACAAAGTAGAGGAGAATGGTGGGTTGACTTTAATTCCTAATCAACCATTTAAAACTAAACGAGAAGCTCTATGTGTTCTCGGTATTCACTCTAGTGTGCTGAATAAACATCTCGATTCTTCTATAGTATACAAAGGATTACGATC